AAAAAAAAAAAAAAAAAAAAAACGGTTCCTCGTTTGATATTGTCTCCTGATTTTCTCTATTACTATATCACATCGGTTGCATTGATTTATAAAGAAATTATTTATTCGAGGCTGTGCCCCTAACGTCGTTCTGCGGGACAGGACCCCCCCCATTCATCGACCAGCCAGGTACTATCTCGCGACGTGAACGCTGAGAGGCCGGCCTTGATATGTTGCAAGGTAGGTCCGTACTATTTATTTATTATGGGTGTCAAAAGGACGCGATAAGTAGGTCCACAATTCTCTCTGAATCTAACTGGCTCACGAGTCACTACATCCTTTTTTCTATCAACGCTGAGAGGCCGGCCTTGATAATAAATAGTACGGACTCGTGAGCCAGTTCGACACAATTCTCTCAAAAGGACGAGATGAGTTTGGCGTGGATTTGGCGTGGGTTTGGCGGCCAAACCCACGCCAAACCCACGCCAAACCCACGCCAAACCCACGGCAACGATAAGTAGGTCCACGATTCTCTCAAAAGGACGAGATGAGGATCAGGCGGAAAGGCCAATTAAGAAGTCTCTTCTTTTCTTTCTAAGTCTCTTCTTTTCTTTTTTGATTTTTTGCCGTCTCCACGTTCATCCCTGACAATCTACCTTACAAACCGAATCTCGAATGATATGTTCTAAAGCTCCTCCCACCACTGTCGGAGGAAGCAAATGTCGTGCCAAATAAATGATGAGAGTTTGAAAAACTTTGATTGGATAGAAGTGGAAAATTTACTATGGATGTGGGTGTGGTGTTGCCTATCCTGAACAGGTGTTGCACATTACGGACAATGGCATTGGGGATGCAGGGGCGATAATGATGGCGTCTGCGGTGTCGCAGACCCCCTCACTGAGGAGCTTGCACATCGAGAACAACCCGATCGGGTCGGAAGGGTGTAAAATGCTTTCTGAAGCAATGGCAAATAACCCAGATAAGCGAATATACTTGCAGACGGGGTTCTCATGACCTGACGAGGCTGGGTGACGACTGGCAGTGACGAAACTCTTCATGCAGATGGGTCGGTGATGGATGAGTTTCGTGGACGAGAGTTTGTTTGAAGGGGGTCCGGATTTTTTCGGTTGTAAAAGGACGCTCGATTGGGACGATAGGGACTTATGGCGGACTTTTTCTGCAGCATTCCTTCAGATTGACAACAACAAGGTTTTCTTGGGGTTTTGCCAGAGGGGGTCCAGGCAGTGAGGGGAAAGGACGGGAATTGGGTTGGGTTCAGTTGGTTGACTCCTCGGACGTGGCTGAGAAGGAGGCTGTTCCGTCATGCCCGCAAAAGTCCTGTTGAAGCCCACGATGATTTCTCTTTCCTTTTTTTTCATTTAGATTGTGATACTGGTATGACTCGAGATTAACATGCTTTGCCAAGCTGGCTCTGGCGGTGGGATATATACACACACACACACACACACACACACAGAGAGAGAGAGAGAGAGAGAGAGAGAGATAGAGAGAGAGAGAGAGAGAGAGAGAGAGAGAGAGAGAGAGAGAGAGAGAGAGAGAGGTATAGATAGATACATATAGATAGATATCCAGTTGTGCAAGCAAGAAAATGTAATATCCATATCGACTCCCCAACCGATCTGTCCTTCCCATCCCATCCATCCGTCCATCCATGCATTTCTTTCGAAGGCATCGTAATGTCCGATCCATACCTCCGGCTTTGCAAGGCAGTTTGAGGAGGACGCTTCTTCTCATATGCGTCAGCATTTGCACCCACACTGACTTTCACACTCTCTTAACACTATTTAACCTATCATCCATCCATTCCCTAACCCCCCTCCGCGCCGCCCAACCACCCTCGCTGGCCACCCACCCAATCAGTCAGATAGCCAGAGTCTTCTGGCAGTGGTCTGCCTGTTGCATACCAACGACCATGGAATTGCAGATTCACCCTGATGTCGATGTTTCTATCGATGGATGGCAGACCACTAACTGATGATGGACATGCTGATTTAATGTTGTCTTCCTCTTGCTGACTTTGCTAGTGACAGGTATGGAGTGTTAGGTATATATATAGATATATGTATATGTATATATATATCTTGCAGATGCTAGCTGGCATGGTTGGAACTTCGAACGTGATTGGGTTTGCTTGTGCACATTTGAAGGAGATGAGAGGTGGAAAGTGATGCTAGCTGGCATGGTTGGAACTTCGAACGTGATTGGGTTTGCTTGTGCACATTTGAAGGAGATGAGAGGTGGAAAGTGGGAAGAAGGGCAGTGGTAGTGAACAGGAGCAGGTGGGAGAGGGGATAGCACTCCAGGAGGAGAACACTCCAGGAGGAGAACAAGGAGTAAGAAAGGGCCAACTCCTGCAAATGTGGTGTTATTTATGAGGAAATTCATTTCAGGGACGGTGTGCATCAAAGACTCTGAAGGTATTGTCATGTCCAGTCCACAGACTGTGTGAGAAGGTGTAGAGGGAGGAGTCCCCATGAGTACGTCCTGATCCCACCCTGTGAACTCGTCTGATTCGTATCTCATGGAGTTTTTTTTCCATGGTTACCTGGGCCATCACCACACACCACAGATCTTACCTTGAGTGCTTTTTTTTGGCCTGTGGGTGTAAGTATGCTAGTCTGTCATGTGGCAGATTAATGGCTGCTTAGGGATGGTGTGCCACAACTGGCGCGCATCATGGTGAGAGTGGCACTGAGTGCACTCATACATGTTAAGAGAGGAGAAAAGGGAGAGTCAGGAGAGTCGCAGGAGCAGGAG